ATATACACATACATACACACATACATACACACACATACATACATACATACATACACATACATACATTCCAGGGGCCGGGGATTTAGCTCAGTGGTTTCACCACTTGACCTGCAAGCACAAGGGCCCGAGTCGATCCCCAGTACCAAAAAAAAAAAAAACAAAAAACAAACAAACAAACAAAATATACATATTTGCATTCCAGAGCACATGTGCAGAACAGTTCCCAGAGTTCCAAGAGATACCATCAGCAGCACAATAGCATCAAGCACAGGTTAGAAAATTACAATTTGTATTGTAGCTATTAATCTATCACCTTTAACTGTGTGGATTAAATCAAAATCAAGGACCAGCCCAAAATATGTGTATAGTGAATAAACTCTTTGATATAGCAATTTTACCCTTCATGATGGGGATTTAGAAGGATCTGGGGAGGGAAGGATAGATAGATAGGATAGAGAAAGGTTGACTTCTCCAGAGAACTGGCAGCTTTTCAATAGGATGACCCACACTTGAGTTCAGCCTGAGGCATGGGATTCTAGCACCATTTTTCAGGACCCATGTGTAGACGTTCTCATGGGTTTCCTCTAGATTTTCATGGCATAAAGGACACAGACACTAAAAAGAGCTTGCTATTATGGCTTTCTGCTCTATAGCCTGCCCTGCTTTCTTTATGGCGTACTTTTATCTTACTTTTTCCTCTTTTACTTAGCTCAAGCTCAATCTGTAGAGCCACTCCCTCACTCTTCATATTTTTTCAAATAAACTTTGCCACTGCTTAAAAAGGAAAACTTAGCTTTTGCCTGTTTTGTTTTGTTTTTTGAATCTGGTAGATTTGTTGAACTCTTTCAGTTAGGCATTGAAGAACCATTTTGTTCTCATTCAGAGATTACCTTATTAGCCTGAGGATACTGGTGTGGTGGTTAAAGATTTTGCAAGTTCTTAAGTAACTAGACAATACTCAGCAGTACTAAACAAGATATTTTATCAGTTAGTGTCACTAGAGGAAAGAGCAGTGACACTGAATTTTCTTTGTAGGCAGCCTAAGGAAGGAAATGTTATTTCCTCATGATTCCACAATTTGTTTGTTTGTTTGTTTAGACAGGGTCTTGCTCTATAATTCAGGCTGTCCTTAAACTCACTATGCAACCAAGACTGGCTTTGAACTTGTGGTGATCCCCTTGCCTCAGCCTCCCTAGCCCCAAGTTGGACCCCCACCCAAGCAGACCTCCTACCCACATCAATAGGAGCACAGAGGTAACAAGAAGCTAGCAGCTGCCCTGCTGCTCTCATCACTGCCCTGTTTATCAGCCAGCCCCAGGCCCATCCCCCATGGAACTCTTAAAATTTTCAACTCTCTCGACCAGTCTCCCCTCCTCTACTTGAACTGCCCATATCAACCACAAGCACCCTCCTCTCAGTGCCAATGGCCTTCTCACCCTTGGCCCACCTGCACCCAGGTGTTGCTTAGGCTTTGCCTGCCTCAGTGGTCTCAGTTGTGCCTTGGCCTGAACTTACATGCACACCATGCCCAGCTCCACACTTGCTTTAAATAATAAAAGAATTTAATTCTAATGAGACCTCAGACTTTGTAATTATACTGCATAGAATCTCTCAGTTAATTATATGCTCAGGATGCATATTTTTTCAATAGGTGCAATCAATTATAGATAAGGTCTTATTTTAAAATGTGCTACTCTAAGTTGACAACCAGCTGATACTTGTTACATGAATAACAGAAATTAATTATTGTTTTAAAAAGCATTGGAGAAAGAAAGAAACTTAGTTTGTTCCATGAGAATCATCAAGAGATACAGGAAAGTAGGTCTTTAAAAAACATATTTTTGTAAGCCCTATATTTGAACCATTCTCAGACTTATTTTAAATTTAAATTTTTCTGGTTTTCCAAGTTTTAAATTATTGCAGGTCCTGGAGAGGGAGGCACATTTCATCATATTTTCATCACATTTTCATCTCACTTAAGTCTCTACTACCTATGAAGTGTTTTATTGCTTTAACTCCAGCATGTTCTTCCAAGATCACCCATACAAAATGGTCTTAAATGTGAAATTTTACTGAGCCTCAGAAGTGAAAATGCTTTCTTGAGTCAATGGCACCAAGTACTGGTGACAACAAAGACCAGGGCCTTGCTCTGAGCAGCACACCATGAGGCACGAGTGGATGCCAACAAACTGTCCCATGGCGTCACTGAATCCTCTGGGCAGAGTGATCTGTGCCCATCAGCACCGCATCACTCAGCAAACCACTGGCCCTGTCTGACTAAAGACCACACCTCCACAGAAGCTGCCCTTTTCACTAATTCCCACTCACTCTTCAAGACTCAGGTCAGTAGCCAGGGTGAGGAATAGTTCTCTGACCGCTGGGGTGGAGCTGAGAGCTGCTCCCAATAGTATATATTTGCATGGAGCTCAAGACAATTCTTTTCATGCAACATGGCCCAGGCAAGTGGAAAGACTGGGCACCCGTAAAAGATACTTACTGTATCAGTCAAAGAACCATCACTTTATTTCCTTTATCTGCTCTAAATCAAAACCCTTCCATTTTTCCATTCATTCAATCAATCTTATTGTTTGGCACTATCATTAGCACCATCGATAAGCTGTACATTTAAGTTAGAAAAGCAGTATAAAAATCTGTAGATGCAGTGCCAGACAGGAACAGTTGAGAACCGTTGGAAGAAATTTCAGCTGGAAGATTTAAAAATACAGGATAAATTTGAAGCACAGAGAGAAACTGGATAAGAAAGGCAGAGAGGCAGGAAGAAAGGGGTAATTGGTGGATAGTATAGATTCAGCCAAGAATATGGTGGGAAAACAGAAGCTGGAAACAAAAGTTGCAGCCAGATCATTTTAGATCTTAAATACTAAGCTAACAAAATGGAAGACTTTGCTATTCAATTTGGGGGTGATTTTAAGTAAGGAAGATCAGAGTTTAAGTAAGGATCACAGTTGTATTTTGGGGGGAAAATAATCTCTCAGCTGCACAGATGAACAACTAGGAGGGACATGAAAAAGACTCTTTAGACACATATTACAGTCACTCAGATCAAAAGCGATGAGGGCATGAACTATGACAGTGACCATAGGGCAAGAGAGGCCCCAAGTAAAACCCACAGAACTTGAAAACTCTGAGGTTTTAAATCCGCCTTGTTTCGAAGGCCCATAAGCAAGCACCAAGTAATAAGCTGAACTTGAAAGTCATCATAAGTGAGACTCTGCAGCTGGGCATGGCGGTGCGTGCCTCTAAACCCAGCACTCTGGGAGGCTGAGGTGGAAGGATCACAAGTTCAAGTCCAGCCTGAGCACCTTAGTGACTTAGAAAGACCCTGTCT